TCTGCACATTTGAAACCCAGTTTAGAATACCCTCGGACATCTGCCAAGATGGAGGTGTAGGTGGAAACACTTTGCGTCCTCGCACAACCAAATCTAAAAACAACAAAGTTTTAACAATAAACGCAATCAAACCACACAGAAAATCGACAATATGGAGTGTGAAAATAACGAACCGCTCAGCTAAACCAGTGAGACGGGCGAAGCCAGCAGTGGAGCGGGTTGGGCAAAAAAGATCCCCAACTGGGCGGTGAGCAGGCAGCTGAGGGCACGGATCCCAGGTGCGGGCTAGCTACAGGCGTACACAGGGAAGAGGCGCAGCTGGCTCTCTGTGGTCCGTTGCGCATTTGCGTGCAGATAAACCAGTGAAGAGGCGAGCATTGAGACTGTGTGGCGCAGGGCTGCGGGCTTGCACATTTGTGCTCAGAAAAAACAGGCGGGGGCAAGCTGTGAGGCGGACTGGGCCAGTGGAGAGGACCGCCATTGCTCCCTCTCTGACCCCGCCCCCACGTACAGCGTCAGAAAACAGCGACCTGGGTAGCCTCGCCCTGATGAGCAACTAAGGCTCCGCTCCTCATACATAGCAGGCACAAACAGATAAAAACATGACTCAAGAACAACTCAGAGCCCCAGAGCTGATAAATCTAAGCAATGAAGAAATAGCCAAACTTTCAGATGCACAGTTCAAAACACTGGTGATCAGGATGCTCACAGAACTGGTTGATTATAGTCACAAATTAGAGGAATATATGAAGGCTAAACTAATTGAAATGAATGGTAATGCACAGAAAACCAATAGTAGTAGAAAGGAAATTGGGACTCAAATCAAGGGGGTAGACCAGAAGGAAGGAAAAATACATGACCAAACAGAAAAATATGAAGAAACAAGAATTCAAAAAAATGAGAAGAGGCTTAGGAACCTCCAGGACATCTTTAAACGCTCCAACATCTGAATTATAGGGGTACCAAAAGGGGAAGAGGAACAGCTATGAGTGGAAAACTTATTTGAACAAATAATAAAAGAGAACATCCCCATTCTGTGAAAGGAAATAGACTTCCAGGAAATCCAGGCAGCTCAGAGAGTCCCAAAGAAGTTGGACCCAAGAAGGAACACACCAAGGCACATCATAATTATATTAGCCAAGATTAAAATGAAGGAGAGAATTCTAGAAGCAGCAAGAGAAAAGGAGACAGTTACCTACAAAGGAGTTCCCATCAGACTGTGAGCAGATTTCTCAAAAGACACCTTGCAGGCAAGAAGGGGCTGGAAAGAAGTATTCCAAGTCATGAAAACCAAAGACCTACATCCAAGATTGCTCTATCCAGCAAAGCTTTCATTTAGAATGGAAGGGCAGATAAAGTGCTTCTCAGATAAGATCAAGTTCAAGGAGTTCATCATCACCAAGCCCTTATTATATGAAATGTTAAAGGGACTTACCTAAGGAAAAGAAGATAAAAAATATGAACAGTGAAAGGACAGCAAACTCACAGTTATTAACAACCACACCTAAAACAAAAGTAAACTAAGCAGACAGCTAGAACAGGAGTGGAGCCGCAGAAATGGAGATCACATGGAGGGTTAGCAACAGGGGAGTGGGAGGAGGAGAAGGGGGGAGAAGGTACAGAGAATAAGGTACGGAGAATAAGGTACAGTGAATAAAGAGAAGGTGGGGAGAAAATAGACGTGGAGGGCAAGAGTAGTGTGGGAAATGTAGAAGCTAAAGAACTTATGACATATGGACAGGAACTAAAAGGGGAGAATGTGGGAGGGGATGTACAGGGTGGAGGGGAATGAAGGGGGGAAATGGGACAACTGTAATGGCATAATCAATAAAATATATTATAAAAAGGATAACTAGACCATCTTTAACAGTAACTGCAATGCATTGGAACAAAAACTATAAAAAGGCTGACTGGTATGGCTCAGTGGGTTGGGCATCGTCTCACAAACCTAAAGGTCACTGGTTCGATTCCCAGTCAGGACACATGCCTGGTTTGGAGCCTGCAAGAGACAACTGATCGATGTTTATCTTGTCCACCAATGTTTCTCTCCCTCTTTTACTCTCTCTCTTCCCCCTCTCTGAAAATAAAAATAACTTTCTTGAGAAAACCTAAAAATTAAACCATATTAAAACTTATTAATTCATAGTGGTACTATATCAAAAGCCCTTCAAAATCATCATGGTTACATTTGGAGGATGTTAGGAAACCAAGTCCTTATCTTACATATTTGGAAATGAAGGGAATCAAGTATTTATCCTGCCACACACACACAGATATATGTATATATATACATACATGCATGTATACAAATATATACATACATGCATGTATACAAATATATACATATGTGTGTATATACATGTGTATACCCTCAGGATAACCAAATTATTGATAAATGGAATTACATAGAAATACCTTGGCTAATAAATGAGTGTTGCCATTTTGAAATCCCTAATGAAATAATGTATTGAGGTAATGATCACCAAGAGCAGGTAATACAAGAAGGTGACCAGTGATTTGGAAGCAGCTAACAATATTAAGTATTGCTAAAAGCCTGGCTGGTGTGGCTCGGTAGGGTTTCTGTAAGGGAAAAGGCCACCGTCAGACTCCCAGTCAGGGCACATGATTGGGTCACGGGCCTGGTCCCCGGTGGGGGATGTGTGCAGGAGGCAATCGATCAATGTTTCTTTCTCCCTACCTTCCTCCTCCCCTAGTAAAATCTTTTTAAGTATTGCTAAAATACCACACCTTAATACAGGGAAACATGTCAAACTGCAATCAGGGAAATGGAGAATGTGAAAGACTACAGGACAAACAATCTGGTTCCTATACAAAAATTGCAAAGAAACAACAAACAAAAAAGGGTAAGAAACGGATTTTACCAGATGTATCAACCAATTGTACTGGATGGGCTTTACTTGGATCTTGATAAAGTAGAAATAGGACAAAAAATAATGGTGCCTTTAGAATATTTTTTCTGTGATAATGTCCTGAAGTTTCTTAAAGATCTATATGGACATTTTTTGTATGATTATTTCTTATATTGAATTTGTTTCCAAATAGTCTGGGTGGGGGGAGGGAAAGACTTTGGTGGGGATATAGATGAAACAATTGAAGGTGGGTGACTGGCGTTCTTTATACTCTTTTGTGTGCATCTGTAATTTCAATTTAATAAAAAATTTATATATGAATTAAATGGTCGAAATGTCAATCAACTGCTATTGAACTTAGAATAAAAGTCAAAACCATACCTTGGCCTATGAAACCACTTCCTACCTCTCCATCCTGTTGGAACCCTTTCCTTCCACCAAGGTCTTACCTGCGCCAGGCCTTTGCTTAGAGTTCCCTTTAAGGGAATATTTTCCCCTCTTCTCTGGTTATACAGCACCTTTCTGGCCTAATGAGTATCTTATAGGTCTTTCCTGACCACCCCAAGATTGCATTTTTGCCTGTTTTAATGTTGTCAGTGCACTTCAGCATAATTTGTCATTGTTTTTTGGTTGGTTTACTACTAGAAGGAATTATATCTTGTACACTCCTGTATTTCTAATGCCCATCACATGTGTGATATGGAGGTGTTTTATGCTTGTTGAATGAATTATTCTGTGGTGTCTGTCTTAAACATGTAGGTCAGCTCAAACTGTGTTTGGTGTGAAACTAAGGTGACTGAATAAATACTTTGGTAGATGTTATTTCTGGAGTAAGTTCATGTATTTCCTTGAAACCAGTTACCTTTGACCACTGGTATCGTGGAAGCAACAGAGCGGAAATGAACTTTGAAATTCTACCTAGACTGTCTAAAAATGAAGGCTCATTTGTTTGTATGACTTGTAAATTACACTGTAATAAAATTAATTTCTGTTTAGCCATCTCTCTCTATGCACTGGACTCTCACTGGAAGAGCAGAGGTCCTCGGAGTACAGCACCTGACATATAGATGCACTGAAATCTCTGGCGATGCTTCATGTCCTTGAAGATCATAGCAACTCACTCTCCACCAGTCCAAATAAATATAGCTTATTTTTCCTTCAGAAATATTTTTAGTATTTTATGATTTTAGTTAATTCCATAGATTCTTCTTGCACTCTTGTGGTAGACAGCCCCCAAAGTGGTCTCGTCATTCTTGCCTCCAGGATTCCGTATTGCTATATACTCATCTATACCCATATTGACAGGGCTGACCTGTTTAACCAATAGGACATCATGGAAATAAAGAAGGGTGACTTTGAAGGCTAAGTCATAAAAGCCATTGCAAGTTTTTGCACAATTAAACCTCTAAAGTTAATTTTTGTAATGGTGTTCTCTCCTGTTTTCTTCAATAGAATAACTCCTGAATACTCACTTTAGTTTAAAAATGTCATTTTGCATCCTACTGTTCCCTAGCTTGCCATCCTTGCAACCTAGAATCATTTGTACATTTAATGAATATGCTTTAAACTTCTATCAGTTATAAGTCATGGATAAAAACACTAGAAGACAGTGGGGTCCAGTATTGATTCTAAACAGTCCTGAAAGACTATTGTGCCTCTTCAGACTGACAATGAACCTTAATGCCTTTTAGGTTACAATATTCTCAATCTGAATACCTGTTTGATATGGAGATGCAATGTAGGTGACAGATTAGATAAATTTGATTTCACTTTTGTCTCTCAGATCCATCCCCATCACTGGAGAACACTGGATTTAATTATTTAGCTATCTGCCCCGGCTGGTGTGACTCAGTGGACTGAGCACTGGCCTGTGAATCAAAGGGTCACCAGTTCCATTCCCAGTCAGGGCACATGTCTCGGTTGTGGGCCAGGTCCCCAGCAGGGGGCACACAGGAGGCAACCACACATCAATTATTTAGCTATCTGGAAACCACATTTTAAAACATATATTCCAGTATCAAGTTTTATACTGGTTTTAAAAATACTGACAAATGCTACAAATTATGAAAAATTCTCCAATACATTTTTTCAAGGGGAGTACGAATCCTTAATTAAATTAGACAACCAAGATGGTGATAAGTCTTTATTTTTCATACAAGGTGCCACTGCAGGTACCATCAAGGAACACACTGCTGTTTTCAGATATACAGAACTGAACAAAAGCATGTTAGCATGCTGCCTCACTGTACATGGAAAATTGGTGAACATCTTCAGATACTAAGACTAGGAAAGAAATGGGTTAATGTCATTTGTTGATATGTCTATGAATCACTCAGCAATGTTATTACAGGCTGTTTTCACCTCAAAGCAGAATTACAATCACTCTGCAGCCCCTGGACAATTCTCAAATGCACGTCTAGTGAAGGTACAACACGCAGGCATGAGACAGATACTGTGTCTCATCTGAAGAGAGACTGATTTGGCACCTGGCTCAACACATTTTAAGAGCTGATATAGCCACCTCAATAGTTTAAGATTGAGTTTCCCTCACCACATAAGTTGGCAATTGGCTTAACTGAGAATTTCTGAAACATTAGCTGAATAAGCCTAGGGTTAAAAAAACCCACCAGAATACTGTCCGTTTAACAACACAGCCACTTCATAACTTCTGTCCAGTTCTCATCTGTTGTCCTACAAAAATCCCTTACATGATGACTTTTAGTAAAACCCTCTAGCGACTGTAACAGACCTAGCTCTAGATACTAAGTATCAGAAAAAAGTGCCTGTGAAGTGTGTGTGTGTCCACGGAAACATGGCAGTGTTACTACTGGAGGTAAGTGTCAAGTTTCCTCTTGATGTTGTCAAAGGAATCTGCTCCCATGTAATCAGCCTGGCCTTGTTCCCACCTCTCCTTCCGTTCTTCTGAGGATACAAGAGGCTGTGCTGTAGCCGAGATCTCCCCGAGGGACAGATGTGATATGGCTCCTGAGACATCTTCCTAGAAAAAAGAACATAATCAGAGACTCCTTGAGAGCTGAAAATCAGACCATTTCAAAGAATGCAATAAATTGAAGAAGGTGAGAAAACCAAGGTGAATTATCATGCAAAGTACCAAAAACTGAAAGTATTACATGAAACAACAACAACAAAAAAGACAGAAATACAAAGGTCATATGATTTTTTTTCCTAACAAAATGAAGACTTCTTGACTGAGTGAAAACATTGGGGTAACAAAGTAATCAGGGTTATGTTTAAGTTCTGCATACCTTTCTACAGAAGCCACAAGAGAAAGCCAGTGTATAGACCAAGTCTGAAAGCTGCAAACAGTTCATTAGAAAGTGTAAGACGGATGGACAAGGGAATACAAGTCTCATGATAAATTCTCGATCTGTGTGGGCTCAGAAAGGTTGAGAACTTAAACAAAATGACACCTTAGAGCCTAAGCTTCAGAAAGAACCTAACCAGAGAGCCACACCACTTACATAAGTTGTCATGTTACGAAAGCGAGAGCTAAATGGTCTAAGACCATGCACCAAACTCATCTGCCTGTTCAAGCATATTATCACATAAGCATCTATTCTTGTAGTTTCTGCTAATTTAATTAGCTTAGTTTTGAACTGTTTCAATTCCCATCTTCACCTTTTTTGGTTAATAATTCTCAGTCCTTGGGTTGCAGAAGGAACAAAGTGAACGTGCAGAAAATGGAGCAAATCTACTCTATGTCAGATTACCATTACATACAGATGCACAATTAACTTCAACTGTACCATAAAGGAATATCGAAGCCATCTTTCAAAGAGATCTGAGGTGAGAAGGCACCAGAAATCTTAGCAGATAAAAATGCAGATAAATACATATAAATACTGCTTTTGACAGAAAATGGCAGAACAAAATTTTTGATTACCTGTTTTGATTGTGTGTGTGTGTGTGTGTATGTATGCATTTAAATATACTGGAACTCCAAGGTATTGGGGTGGATTCCATGGGACTGTAGTACAGCTAAGGCAACATAAGTCCTTCCCCTGGATTAGCTCTGGCTTTGCCTCCAATTTGCAATGGGAATGATATAGAGAAGCTCTTCCAGAGTTTTCTGCTCACAATATTTTTCATAAGGATAAGTCTCTCAGACCTGGATTTGAGTCCCAGTTCTGCTACTGACTAGTCGGTTATATAAGAGAAGTTTATAATTCTTTAAGCCTCGGTTTATTTTAATATCTAAAAAGGGGATATTACCAATAGTACTTGATAGATTAGTTTAAAGTTTAAACAAAAATGGCTAACTTTTCTTAAGCACTTACTATTGTCAGACAATGTTCCAAGTACTGTGCAGGTGTTATTTCATGATCCACATAAAGCAACCGAGTAAGAATGTAACTGTGAGTTATTTTTCTTTTTCTCCTTCTCGTGTTTTGGTACAAGTGCTAATAAGTGAAATGGCTAAAATTTATACCCGAGCAAAGAGAAGTATCTCTTATAACCTTATAGTCTCTTCTTATAGTAAGGCAATTAACGGATCAGTTAGACATAATTATAATTCACCCATTCTGTTGTATTCTTTATAGCTTAATATGTAACATGTAGGTTTAATTATTTGTTAAAAAAATTAATTTATTGGAGTGACATTGGTTAACATAAGTATACAGGTTTGGGGTGTACAATTCTATATAGCACATCATCTCTATATTTTATTGTGTGTTCACCACCCGAAGTTAAGTCCCCTTCTGTCACCATTTACCTTCCCTTTACCCTCCTCTACCTCCCCAAAGTGTCATTTCTTATCCTTTTCCAATTCTTCCAAAAGAACAAACTTCAGAGGAAGACCTTTAAAGTCAGAAATGAGGCTAAGCAGTTCGTTATTGTAAATGTTAACATGTCATCCTCCTCCTACAAGATTTCTTTTTCAAAGGTCCTACATAATAACCATATAGGAGTACAAACATAGCAAATCAAGATAATCCTAGAAAAATATTTGCTTATATGTTCATGTTGTTGTAATTGTCACTGAAAACTCATTTTTCTGAGCACAGAGAAAAAAACAAAATAGGTGTATTTAAATGTTTGCAGTTTCTAAAACGTGAAATGTAGCATTCTTCATTTTTACAAATCACTGTTTTAGAATTTATCTCAGGACAATGGATTAAGAATTTCTTAGTTACAATATATGGGTATAGTAAAACTTCTAAAACCCTTTCTTATGCTCTCAGATCTAAGAAAATCTGCCACAAACTTTACTTCTGCTTTAGTTTTTGCTGGTTACATTTCTCCCTTCTAAGATGGAAACTGTTTTCTATCTACAAAAATCTTATTTCTCTGTTTGAAGTACCACCAAATACTCCGTCTAACGGTACGCATTACATTACATGCAAGAACAAAGCAGAACCCACCGTGTCCAGGGACAACTGGGTGTCTTTGACCAGGCCAAACTGCTGGAGCACCGGCAGCACGTCGGTGGTGAAGATGTCCCACCACAGGCTGAGGAACTCTGGGTGAATCATGGTGGGATCATGGGACTCACTTTTGACACTTTTTGTTTTAGCATCGTAAGTGTAATTCCATGGTTTGATGTGTCCCAGGAAATGCACAACTTTGGCATTTGCACCAAACCTGCCAAATGAACACAAGTTGAAATGGTTAGTAGATTCTGAGTGCTAACAAAAACATACGCAACATTTTGTGCTGTAGACTTAACGGTGCATCTTCTTCCATCCTGCAGTTGTGGTTGGAAAGCAAATTGAGTTCCCTAAAAAATTTTTAGAAATGCTTTTTAAATTATTCAACTGTGCCCTGGCTTGAATGGCTCGGTTGGAACGCTGTCCCGTGCACCAAAAGGTTGTAGGTTCAATCCCCAGTCAGGGCATATATAGGAAGCAACCGATCAATCTATGTTTCTCTCTCACATCGATGTTTCTTTTTTGCTCTCCCTAAAAATTGAAAAAACACATCCTTGGATGAGAATTTAAAAAATAAATTATTAAACTGTATGTTAAATATACATAAAAATTCAAAAGTTCAGTGGATCAGTGCAACAATGAAAACACCAATTCATGGTGAATAGTAAAGGTACAATCATTTACAAAACCACTTGACATTATCTACTCAAGTTGAAAATGCTCACATTCTACATCCTGGAAACTGAGCTCCTGGGCAGGTACTTTAAAGAAACTCTCGCATATGTGTAGGAGATGACATAGTCAATGTTCATAGCAGCAGCACTGTTGGAAATGCGTGTAAACTGGAAACAACTCAATGACCATGTTAGGTGAGACTGCTGCTGAGCACATGTCCACTCCTTTCTCAGTCTCCATGAGCGAGTATGTTTTCCTGCCTCACCAGTGTGGGGTATACTCACAAGACCTGCTTTAGACAACTGAATGTGGGCAGAAGTGACTGTCTTAAAAAGAGCAGTTTGTTTTTGTTCACCCTCTCTGAGAAGCTTCACGTTCTGCAGCCGAAGAACATGGCCTGGGCCACCTGCCTGTTCAAAGGAACAAAATGTGTGAACAAAGGTGGGTCACACCTGTGGGCTGGCTCCAAACCCAGGTGAGACGGTCAGAGCTGTCCAAGCCTATCTGCCAACGTGTGAGCAAGAAATACCTGCTTATCACTGATGTTTTATGGTTATTTATCCACTTTATTTTTTATTCAGAAAATATTTATTGATTATCAGTTCATTAAGCATTCCAACTTCATAACTGCTGTTTTGACTTTTTAGGTTCCCATCACTTCCTCTCCTAGAAACAGACCACATTCTCAGCTGATTGAAAGGGAGGACAGAGAGGGGGAGGATCACATGTCTTTGCATTTCCCTTTCTCTCTCTGGGAAAAAAAAAACTAGCCAGAGATATTTTCTCTCATGCAATTTCAAAAGCATTCTTTCACTTTAAAACTTTAAATGGGTCTCTGTGCCTGTCCTATATACTAAATTCCAAATTACATGACCTGGTCCTTCATATTCTATTTTTTTAAAGGACAACTTCTGGTATATTCATATCAAAGAATACAATGTAGTAGTGAAAATGAAGTAGTGAAAATGAAGCTTTTTAGCTGTACGCATTACATAGCAAATGAATGGATTTTTAAATTATGCTGATAAAAAGAAATACATAAAAATTCAAATAGGAATACATATAGATCCACTTACATAAGAACAAAACAACAAAAGTACTATTAAAAGACTAGAAAAGTACAATCAATGTAAATTTCATGATACAGATTTCTCTCCAGCAGAGAGGGAGGCTGGGATGGGGAAGGGACACAAAGGAGCTGTATTGCTTGTGTTCCATTCTTATCTTGGGTGGTGGATACTTTTAAAAACTGCACACTTTTTGTGTATTTCTTTTTGGTTTAAACACTATTATTTTACAATAATATCTTAAAAAGAGTAAGAGTTAAGAGTAGTCTTGTTCTGGTTTGGAAGAAATCTAGGCACATAAAACCAAGTAATAATAACAGTGAATATAACAAGAGACAAAAGGAAGGGGGAACAGTGAGGACTCCAGGAATTCAGAGGTGGGGCGGTCACTGAAAGCCAGGTGCGGCGGGGCAGGAGGTGCTGAGAGACTGGACACGACTTAAGGTTTGTCCAACAGGTAGGAGCTGGGTGGTAGTACAGGGAATTGTAGTGAGAGACAGTGGCTCTGAGGCTTGTGGATGTGCCAGACCAAGTGTCTTCCAACTACAGCCAAGGAGCAAGCTTTGACAGCAAAAGATAAAATGGGATAGATTCTTGAGTGTTGGGCTCAAGTGTCAGATTTTAGTGGATTTATCCTACAGAAAACCAAAGGATTTGGTCAAAATAATGTAAACTCTCTTCATGTAACCTTTCCAATCTTCTAAAAGATTTTAAAAAATGTCACAGAGACTTCCGCCAAGAGGCGTAGGTGGGAACACTTTTCGTCCTCGCACAACCAAATCTAAAAACAACAAAGTTTTAACAACAATAAACACAACCAAACCACACAGAAAATCGAATATGGAGTCCAAAGACAATGAAATGCTCAGCTAAACTGGTGAGAGGGGCGAAACCAGCACCGGAGCCAGTCGGGCAAAAAAGATCTGGGCGGTGCACAGGCAGCTGGGGGCAAGGAACCCAGGTGTGGGCTGGCTACGGGTGGAACCCAGGGAAGAGGCGCTGCTGGCTGTCTGCAGTGGGTTCCGCATTTGCACGCAGATAAACCAGTGAAGAGGCAAGCATTGAGACAGATCTCGCAGGCCCCAGCGACTGGTGCAGGGCAGCAGACTCGCACATTTGTGCTGGTATAAGCAGGCGGGGGCGAGTAGTGAGGTGGACTGGGCGAGTGGAGAGGACCACCATTGCTCCCTCTCGGACCCCAGCCCCTCATACAGCGTCACAAACCTGTGACCTGGGTAGCCCTACCCCCGTAAACACCAAGGCACCTCTCCTTGTATGTAACAGGCACGAACAGATCAAAACATGGCTCAAGAACAACTCAGAGCCCCAGAGCCAATAAATCTAAGTGATGAAGAAATGGCCAAACTTTCAGATGCACAATTCAAAACACTGGTGATTAGGATGCTCACAGAACTGGTTGATTATAGTCACAAATTAGAGGAATATATGAAAGCTAAACTAATTGAAATGAATGGAAATGCACAGGAAACCAATAGTAACGGAAAGGAAACTGGGACTCAAATCAAAGGAGTGGACCAGAAGGAAGAAAAAAATGACCATGACCAAACAGAAAAGGATGAAGAAACAAGAATTCAAAAAAATGAGAAGAGGCTTAGGAACCTCCAGGACATCTTTAAACGCTCCAACATACAAATTATAGGGGTACCAGAAGGGGAAGAGGAACAGCCACCAGTGGAAAACTTATTTGAACAAATAATAAAGGAGAATTTCCCCAATCTGGCAAAGGAAAGAGACTTCCAGGAAATCCAGGAAGCTCAAAGAGTCCCAAAGAAGTTGGACCCAAGAAGGAACACACCAAGGCACATCATAATTACATTAGCCAAGATTAAAATGAAAGAGAGAATCCTAGAAGCAGCAAGAGATAAGGGGACAGTCACCTACAAACGAGTTCCCATCAGACTGTCAGCAGATTTCTCAAAAGAGACCTTACAGGCAAGAAGGGGCTGGAAAGAAGTATTCCAAGTCATGAAAACCAAAGACCTACAACCAGGATTGCTCTATCCAGCAAAGTTTTCATTTAGAATGGAAGGGCAGATAAAGTGCTTCTCAGATAAGATCAAATTCAAGGAGTTCATCATCACCAAGCCCTTATCATATGAAATGTTAAAGGGACTTACCTAAGAAAAAGAAGATAAAAAAGATGAACAGTGAAAGGACAGCAAACTCACAGTTATCAACAACCACACCTAAAACAAAAGCAAATTAAGAGGACAGCTAGATCAGGAGTGAACCATAGAAATGAAGATCACATGGAGGGTTAGCAACAGGGGAGTGGGAGAAGGAGAAGGGGGGAGAAGGTACAGAAAATAAGTAGCACAGACAGTAGATAGAAAATAGATAGGGGGAGGGTAAGAAAAGTATGGGAAATATAGAATCTAAAGAACTTGAGACACGTGTTCATGAAGTAAAGGGGGGAGAATGGTGGGGGAGGGGTGTGCAAGGTGGAGGAGAATGGAGGAGGGGAAATAGAACAAATGTAATGGCATAATCAATTTTAAAAAAAGTTTAAAAAAAAAGTCAGAGACCTGTTAAATAGCTATTGTTATCTGAGACTTTACTATGTTTGGGGCCCAAATTATTTAAGAACATGTTTGGGAATAACAGTTCTGCAAGGTAGATTTTACTAATGTGTTAAATGGAGGCTCCTAGAGGCTGAGTTGCCCAGAGCCATACAGCTATTAAGTGGCAGAGATGGCATTTGGCACAGTTTTGCCTCTCTTAGGCCTGAGCTCTTGCCATGCCTTTCAAAAACTGCCAGAAAAATGGAGCCTATTGTAAATTTTCTTCTAGGGTGACTTTTAAGTGCATGTGGAATGTACTTCTTTTGAAAATGAAGTGGATACCTGATATCCCCAAGATAACTATTTTATACACAATGTATTTCTCTCTCACACACACACACACACACACACACACACACACACACACTCATAGACGTTCGCACAAGTACTTGCAATTTTATCCTTAAAAGAATACAAATGACAATGCTTAAATCCGTTATGTGTAAGGATTTATGTCTAGGCTCAGTGCATGGTCCCAGGAGGCTTTTGTCCAAATAGGGAGATGAGTCACCCACCCAATAAAAATAATAAACAATAGCACAAGTGAGGTAACAACTCAGGGCTACCAGGATAGTGCTGACATTATGGACTATGGAAATTCCAAAGCAATTAGTGCAGGCAGGAATTTGTACAAGGGGCTTTGTGTGGGAAGTGGGACTTGGATGAGGCCTAGAAAAGATGGGCAAGGTTGTGGTAACTGCCCTCAACCACTGGTCCCGTGATGATGGGGAAGCCCATCTCAGCACAGGTGAAAGAAAAGTACTCCCCCCACCTTCTCAGACGTTTACTCTCCCTGACTCAGTCTCCCTGCCTAGAAGGGGAGCCTTTGTCTGCTTCTCTTATCTAAACTGACCAGTAAATCAAGACCCATGATTTTCTTAGACCTATAT